AAGGGTCAGAAATAGTTCTTATTGGTGAGAATCACTGTCATTTGTTAATCTGTTGCACGTCATTTTCAACCAGAATGAGACAAATGAAAGTAGTGTGCTGAGGATTTATATGGTGATCGAGGGTCTAGTAGTGCAGCTGTAATGATGCCAAACTCGGTAAGAGCGCTGAATTATTGTCATAATCAGTCACCACATACTCAAATATAAAGTGAGATTTTAAAATTCATCTTGATTTATGTTATTTTTCGCACACAGCCTCATTGAAGAATTCTAGTTTGGTTTGATTTGGGGAGGGGGGGGGGGGGTTTTTATTTGTTTTATATTATTAATGAGGAAGTATTGGTTTCTTTGACATGTGTCTACCTGGGGTATGCCGTTTATTCCAAGTTTCTGGTTAATAATTACTTCCATGCACTCATCAGGTATATATACCTCTCATACGTCAGGTATACACCACCTATACATCAGGTATACACCTCCCATACAGCAGGTTTACACCACCCATACATCAGGTTTACACCTTCTTTACATCAGGTAACGCCTTTTATTCATCAGGTATCACCTCCTTTACATCAGGTATACACCTCCCATACATCAGGTCATACAACTCCCATACATCAGGGCATTTTAGATCGCTATTCTCTGTAGGAAAGTTATTATTATACCTTACCAGACAAGAAATGTGAGCTTGGGGATCTCGACAATGTCCATGCTATGACCCAGGGATGGGTTGCGCTCCATTAAGGACTTGATAGCATGAGTGTTATTTTCTCTGCATGTCCAGAAACATATGAAAGGGATCTGAACTGATATCATTGGGGAATAAGCCCTCAGGAGCAGGAAATGACCCTGGAGCCAATCCTGTAAGCATGGATGTATTCAGGGTATGGTGGGGAATCTGGATCATTTAAAGTACATAAAGCTTTACACCCAAAATGTATCTATGACTGCTTTGTCCCAGTTTTTCAGACCTGAGATATGCTACAATCTGTACAGTCATTGAGGAAAAGTAGGTTTTTGAAGATGAAATTGTCTTATTTTGCTCTATATTGGGCCCATCTTATGCCATGCCCTTCTAGGTTGTAGAAACTTGACTGATACAAAATATGGTCACCTTATTGCCTCAGCCATTTTTACCGTATATTGTAACAATTTATATGGTGACAGGTCCTTCTAGAAAATCGTCTTTTACAAGTTAAAATTTGCAAATTTCCCCTTATTGGACCCGCCCCTCTACCCTAAGGTGGCCAAATCCTTTCATGATATAAAAGGCCAAAATTATATTGTTTTGTGCCTACCCAAAACTTTTTTGCCAATTTTCAATGGAAGAACTGTTCAAGTCAAGATCACTCTCCATTTTATGCATAGGCTTAATAAAAATAAATGAAAAATTGAATTTATTACCTATCTATACCTATCCATATTTTTTTCAAACATGTAACAGGAAACAAACATCTTTTGTTGTATATAGAGGATACTCATACCCAATAAGTGATGACTCTTTATGAGGTAAATCAAATAGTGTTAGTTGATATGCAGTATATTATCAACAAGTTTCAGTAATTAGATGATATATAACTGAAAATAGTCATGAGAGATACTTCATACATAGCTTATTAAAGAAATACATAATATAGTGTACAGAAAATGTAAAGATAGGATTATGTATACACAGTATATAAAGGTACTATATACAGAATATATGAAGTACAGATATATTTCATTCGTTATAAACTCTGTACACAACTCTCTATATGCTCTGTTTAACACTCTCTATATCACTCTGTTTACTACTCTCTGAATACTATGTATATGACTTCTATATACTCTGTATTATATGATATCTCTGTGTACTCTGCATATCACTATATACTCTGTATTATGTGATGCCTGTGTACTCTGCATACCACTCTTTATATACTCTGTATACTATGTATACCACTCGATATACACTGTATACAACTCCTCATATATTCTATATACCACTCTTTAATTCTATGTATACCACTCAATATATTCATTATAACACACCTTTATACTATATTTACCACTCCTGATATATTCCGTATATCACTCACTATATAATCTGTATACCACTCCTCATATACTCTGTATATAACTCACTATTTACTCTGTAAACCACTCACTATATAATCTGTATACCACTCATATACTCTGTATATAACTCACTCAGTAAACCACTCTCAATATACTCTATATACCACTCTCTATACTACCTATGTATACCACACTTTACAAACCTCTGTATATCATCTCTCTCTATACCCTGTATACCACTCCTTATACCCTGTATACCACTCTCAATATACTCTGTACACCACTTCGTAGATACTGTGCATACTAATCTTTATATACTCTGTATACCAATCTCTTTATATACATACTGTGTACCACTCTCTTTACTCTGTATTCCACTCTATATATTTTCTGTATACCACTCTTTATGTGCCCTGTATACTACTATTTATAATCTGTATACATTCCTATGTAAAGCCATTTCAATTATCTTTTATTATAAACAGGAGGCATTGTTAGGGCCAGTTTATGGGGCAAATCCTGATAACATAAGTGTATCCAAATTGTCATGTTCAGCAATTGTATATACATGTATTAAACACAAGCATGTATAGAATACCACAGACAGATTAAACACATGTATTCAGTATTAAGGAAAGATATTAAACTTGTATTTTATATCACACACAGGTATGCTACAACAGACATGTGTAACACATATTACACACGTATATACTACCACAGACAGGTATTTCACATGTATATAATACCACATACAGGTATAACACATGTTTATACTGTCGCAGACAGGTATTACATATGTATATACTAACACATACAGGTATAACACATGTATATACATGTACTATCACACATAGGTATTGCACATCTATACAATATCACAAACATGTATAACACAGTCATGTATACACTATCACAGACAGCTAGACATTACAAATGTATTACACATGTATATACTATCACACATGTGTATCACTTGTCTATAATACAAATGTATTACACATGTATATACTATCACACATGTGTATCACTTGTCTATAATACATGTGATATAAAACAAATCTGTGATAGTAAATATATATGTATGTAAGCAGTCTGAAACAATTAATAAAAGTTCCTCATAATGTATGTGAAAATTAAGATAATTATAAGTTTATAACTAGTCGAAGCAATCAATATTTTTTTCTTACATGTCTGTGATAGTTAACACAAGTTTATGACTAGCCTGAAACAATAATTAAAAATTGATAACCTTACTTGTGATAGTAATACAAGTTTTATTGCCAGTCTGAAACAAGTGATAAGTTTTCCAAACATGTCGGTGATAATAAATATAATTAAATCCACATGTATAATCATGCAGTTTTAAACGATGTTATTTTTCTGTTACATGTCTGTGAAAGTTAACACAAATGTATAACCAGTCTGAAGCAATGATTAAAAATTCATAACCTGTCTGTAATAGTAAATACAGGTGTAATTATTGACACTGAAGATGGGTCTGTGAAAGTAAGTACTTGTGTATTACCAATTTGAAACAATAAATAAATGTCAATAACCTAAAGTAAATTTGTTATTTTAAATTCATGTGAATTGCATGTGTAATAATTGTGAAAATTGATGTAATATGTCTGCGATAATATAAACATTTAATCCACATACATTTATTGTTAAAAAGAGTTTCCATAAGTAATTTTACAAGCATTGTTTTGAGTGTTTGAATTCAGGAACCCGCTATCAAAGGCTTCTGATCGTTTTTGTAGGTGAAGAATTCAATTTAATAAAATTACTGAAAATAAAATAAAATCAGGGAAGACAATACAGATCTTAACATTTTAATGACTAAACAGTAAGTTATACATGCAGGAATTATTTTTCTTCCGTTGTGAAATACATATTAATAACCATTTCTCCACCACTTACCCCTATATACCGCCTATTTCTTTTTAAAATAATGTAAATCCCGCTACAACTAGTCGTATATTTGTTGACACTGAACTTCTACTTTCACTTTCACATACTTCATTTCTGGAAAAAGCAAATACGTAACTCTGCGGCTACCGAATAACTCCTATACCATGCACAGCTACCGTTTACCGGACTCCATTTTGAAGTACCCTACTTATACACGACTTTACACCGATGGTTCCAAATAAGTGGCTGTTCTGATATTTCTTGCACTTCAGTGCGACTACCAGACGGCGCCTCCATATTTTCTGTCGAAGCATGCGCCGTTGGTTTGGCCCATCGATGAACACTGCATTAAAAATGCAATCATTTGTTGATACTCTGTATCTGTCCTACAAAGTTTACAGTTACGAAATCCTAAAATCACACTCGTACAAAACCTTACTTTTCGCATATCTCGTATCTTAAAGAAATCTTAAATTACTTCACTATGGATTCCGAGCCATGTCGGAATTTAAGGCAATGAATTTGTTGACAGAGAAGCAAAAAATGCGTTAAATCTCGAACAAATAAATATCAAACTACCATACTCAGATTTTAAACCTATTATTCGTACAGCCGTTCAAATGAATGGCAGCAACGCTGGTCCCTCTAAACCAGCAACAAACTTTTTGAAGTCCAACCGTAACTTAAAACATCCGTTCCCAGTCGGAAAGATCGTAGAGAGGAAGTTGTCCTCTCTATTTACTCCTAAAATAAGGTTTCGCTTTTAAGTTTTGAATGTAAACTTTAAATATACTATTAGGAAACAGTTATCTTTTTGTCACGACATCAACTGTGTGTCAAATGTTTCCTCGCAAATATTTATTAATATTGATTATTTAGTGCCAGAAATGAACTGCTTGGTTTCGGTTGAAACTCTTATAATCCAGTTTCAAAAGCGCGAGAGATTACCCAGTTAAACGCACACATCACTACCTTTGAATGAAATGTATTTTGAAATCTGTTTCTCTTTTTATTTGATTTTGTAGGTTAAAACAGAATGGAAATCTTTTTATCAGGTATTCCTAGAGGACTTGATCCCTTCTCAGTTTCCCAGCACATCAGACAGATCGTAGAAACAGGTAAGCTATACTGTAGTGTAATCCGAAACACATGCGTACATTGTTGTTCAGTTTGGTCGTTCTTAAATGTTTTACGGTATTTTTATCCAGTCTTCCTTGGTAAAAAATGAAAATGTAAATTATCAGCTGAAGCCAAAAGTTGTAAACCTCTAACTTAAATGTATAGTATCAATGCATTGAAATTCCGTAATTTTTAAAGATGTAGGTATGATAAAACGGTTTTGCCAAATTTGACACCATGGAAATTGTTTTTGGTACATAGTTTTCCATTTCCTATGAACGTTTGTTTCCATATTACCATTTATTTATTAATAGTACTCAAGTTTAGTGATTTATAATCGATGTTTTCAAATTTATCTTCAATATTTTATCTTGAATCTATTTTTGAATATTCAACAGATTCTATTATTATTCCTCCTCTTTCAATATTTTTTTAAACTTTAGCAGACATCAGATTTGCCGATTCAGAAATGCAGTTTCTTTTATCAATCAGCCTCCCAAAATGTCTTGATCCTTTTTAAACTTATTTTGCAAAGAGTCCCATATATCTTCTATCGTGTGCACGCCTCTTTTTGTGAAATGTATTTTCCGATTCCATAATAAATTTCCATGTAATTGTGTTTAATTCTTTCAAATATTTATCTTGTATGCCACGAACTTCTATTTCATAACCTATTTTATCATTAATGATTTGATAATGATATTTTTTCCACAAAGGGAGAGATTTCCAGTTTTCCATACTTGTAAACAGTTATTGATCTTTTTTAATTTTTCTTTCCATATCGCATCATTATCGATTACGTGCCCATGATACACACCTAAGGTTTTGATATTTGTTTTTGTCCAATTTATTGTTCTGCATTTGGGAAACATATGTTTCCATCTTCCAAGGTAGATACCAATGGTTTTATTAAGATTAATGTTCGAACCTGATGCCTTTTCATGTGTTGAATACTTTGAATGATTCAACTATTGTTTTTACGTCTTAACTGAAAAGTTAAGAGTCATCTGCGAACCTATTGATTTTTGCTTTTTGTACACGTTTATATACAGTTGCTCAAGTACTGGATGTTTGGGTTCACCCAACAAAGGTAAGATATGTATTTTGTAATAAATGCTTTTTTTCTCTCTAAATGTTCCACTTACTTTATGATAACTCAATTGTTCGTTTTAGGAGAAACATGTAAACGAACGAGCCGTCCGTATTTGTTTGGAGATGATGTCCATTGAATATAATGCTATAATAGTGTTATACTGTATATAAAAATACACTGAAGTTTTACCTGGTTAGGAATTCACCTACACTCAACATATATATGTATTAATTCAAAATTGTATGAATACAATCGGTGAATACAACACTATATATTTTTTTAATCAAATAAAAACAATCTTGTAATATGTTTACGTGATCATGGTTATAGGTAGTTACGAGTAAAGGTTTATTATTGTAGGTTTGTTTAAAATACTATAATGCAGAGATTCATCAACTGTCAGAAAGATATTTAAGGATTGGGAACAAGCTATGTACGAATTTGGTTATGATACTTCAGTGATTTAACATTTGCACANTCATCTAACTTTATGACAAACGAGACATTATTATATGATACATACACATTAAAGAGGGTTTTAAAGATGACGCAGAAGACTAGTAATTTTATAAAGAAACGTTTTAGATAATCAAATGTTTAGTTGTTTGGATTACAACTTTGTTTACCCTTCAGTATTCTCTTTGCTCCTGTATTTTTCCTTGCAGGGATACGGGTTTATTACTCTGTTTGATGTAACTTCAACTGATTCTGTTCTTAATCTACACAATGTAAGTCAATGTATATATTAATTATGTTTGTTACATTTATATTTCATATATAAATAGGATTGTGTTTGCTTTATAGTGTTTCTTCACTATTCCTTAAATTGTTCTAGGCTTACGTACCGCCTTTAGATTCGAAAGATGCAGCTGGTGTTGCAAGAAATTCTTTGTGGGCGTACATTGTGTATTCCGTCATTATTGTTGTCTCCTCGCTTTTCAGTGGTACTTTATTGTATAGTCCTATCAAGTCTTTGTTTCTCCTTGGTTTTCTTTGAAAGTTTATTGCATATGGTTATTGTCGTGGATTTTGTTAGGTCGTTATTTGTGTACTCTTATTTTCCGTTGGTGTTTCGTCGTTCTTGAACTCATTTTTGAACCGACATTTACTTCCAATAATGTTATTTTTTGTGATTACACTGGTGAGGTTTTGTTTTATTGCATACTGTGATGATAAGTAATTGTGGTTGTTTTCTTTGCTCTGAATGTTTCAGTTCTATTTTATCATATATGTTTTAATTGTTAGGGGTTCTTGTCGTGGTAAATATAGTAAATCATTTAGCATGTATGTCTATCCTTACTAATGTTGATTGTTTTTTAAGACAATATCTGTCAACGGTT